AAGCAGCCAACAGGATAACTCAGAAAGGGATGGACGTGGTCAGCAACAAACACGGGTGGCCTTTGACGTTTAAACGATGCTCATGGGATGGTGGCGCTTATTGTGGTCTTCTGCTGCTGTAGCCCATCTGCTTCAAGATTCAACATGCAGCACATTCAGAGATGCTCATCTGCATACTATGGTTATTATGAGTGCTTATTTTAGTTACTGTTGCCTTCCTAGCAGCTTCAAACAATCTTCTAGCCATTCTGCTCTGACATCAACAAGAAATTTCACCCAGTGGACAACTGCTCACTGGATATTTTCTCTGATTATTCTTTGTAAACTGTAGAGATACTCATGCAGGACAAATAAGCCGTTTATGACCATCTGGCACCAACAACCACGCCACGTTCAAAGTAACTAAAATCACATTTCTTCCCCATTCTGATGCTCAGTTTGAACTTCTGCAGGTCATCTTGGCCGTGTCTACAAGGTTAAATACACTGAGGGATCAGTTGATGAGATATTTATGTTAATGAGCAGGTGTACTTAATGCAGTGGCAAGTGAGTGTGTTTATATTGTGTTTCTTTTTTTCTCTGTCTCCCGAGTTTAGGACATTGAACAACCATAGAAAGCAGTGCTTCCGTTTTCTAGCCTAAAGGGAGTGTGCATGTTAGTGGGCCAAGAGAGTCAGCAGGCCAAGTGTGATGTTTGTGGAAACGAGGGCCTCCAGGCGTTTCAGATATACACAATACTAAGGACCTTCAGATCCATAACCTCTGTATTTCCCAGCGCTCCCACATGTTTGCATTCTACAACAGCCCTTTTTTTTTTATATATATATAAAATGCTGTGTTAAATGTTCAAACTGGTTACAAAACAGACACTGTATAACTCTGTTTTAATACTAACTGGATACATAACCGCAGTCCCTTTCTTCCTTTTTTTTTTTGCCCTACAGAAAACTCCCAGATGATCCCAAAGCAGAATGGAGCGTCTCATTTGTCTCCTCTGAAATCCTGAAGCACATAAGAGCTCACTCCATCAACATGGTACGCCCCACTCTGTGTTTGGTTCGTGCCTTTCAAAGAAGTGGCTTTTGTGTCATTTCCTGTTCGGTGTCACCGCACAATTTCCCCGCCATTATATGTTAGAAATACATGTACTGTATTGTTTTCTTTGTACAATGTGTTTTGGCACCGCAGCTTCCTTGTTGATTATCCCAGTTTCACGGTGGTCTGCATAATAACCTTGTCAGCTGCCTTCCTTTTCAGTCCTAACTAGACTGCATTTTGAGGCTCCTTGAAGCCAGGGGGAAATGGCCTGTGCTCTGTGTGTATGCAGAGATTCTTATCATACTCAATGCAGTTCCGCACTATTAGTTAATGGGAATGATGTAAATTGAGAATTGGACAATTTCTTTCTCAGCAACAACAAAAATAGTCACTGAAAGCACAGCAGCAGTAATGGCGTGGGGTGGGGGTCTTCATGGTAGAAAATGGAGAAGCACGACTGAGTTATTCTGCTTTAGCTGCTGATCTTTTTTGGCTATCAAAGATGACAAACAAACAGGCAGTCTCCTCCCATCCTGTCACGCGTCACAGCCAAAAGCACCTTTAGTGAAAAAGTAACTTAAAGAGTCCTTTCAGTTGCAAAGAAAACATTTTCTCTAATGAATATAAGCAGGGGAAAGCACAGAGGAAACAGACTTCCATTTCCTTTTTTTCCAACTGAATAATGTTGTTTCTTTGGTTGAAGTGTTTTTGCAGTTAGATGCAAAGATCATGCGTTATTTATAACATATTGGTTTGGCTGCTTAAACTTGTGCTTGATTGCAAAGTCATGGTAGAATATCGCCTGAGCAGAGCAAACACTTCAAGTCTTTTAGTTGAGTTTTGTTCTCTTCCCTTTGACCTGATTTTTTTTTTCACCTGTTTCCTCTGGTGCGCAAGCATGCATGCACAAAAAAGGCTTTTAAATATCAGTTGTCGGCTGCCAAAAAGCCTCCACAGTCACACACATAAACCTAAGAAAATCTTTCTTGCTGCCTTTGCCTCAGCTTCTAGATACCCAGACTCGGCTTTTCACCCACACAGTGACATATTTTGTTGTTTCAGGTGCTGACCTTCGATGGAAGCGGCGTGAGCGGCCATGCCAATCACATAGCTATCTATAACGCCGTCAGGTACAGGAAGGACTTTAAAGATTTTTGCCATCAGGAAAACCTTTTTATTTTATTTCTTCAGTTCCTTAACTTTAAGATGCCATTTTGAGGGGATACTCTGTGACTTAAACACAGAAAGCAATTCACCCTGCTATCATTAAACACAATCCAGGAAAATGCTGAACATTTGGACCCACATCAACATCCATCGTTCCAAATGTTTCCCCACAAGTACACACACACACCATGTTTTTCAGAATTGGTCTGTTACATAGCTGAGAGGTCATCCAAACAGAGTCCTCAGAGGCACTCGGCTCTGCTCCCAGCGAGCAACAGTAAATCCTGTCCCTGAAGTGGTGAGGTGGGAGGGCAGCTTTGGTTTGGAGAGGCCGGCCAAGCAAGAAGTTGCATCAGACTGTTGGTTTGAAACCAAAAAAAAGAAAAGAAAAAGTGTTTTGCACACTGAAGAGAACATCGTAGTCCCTGTACCACACTTACCTGTCTGTGCAGTGAGCCGTGCTCTTTTCTCTCATAAGGCTCTCTGTTCATTTGTGGGCCTTAATGAGATTTGTGCTCTCCAGATCGAATCTGGAAATTCCCATTTGACTGGAACACGAAAGGGGGAGAGGCTGAGTGCGAGTTTCACAGCCTCTAAATCTTGACAGTGTGCTGTCATTTTCTGTCAGCGTGTTAATAACCATTGCATAAAAAAATGCAAGTGCAGGAAAACTTCCAAAAACCTCCCAGCATTTGATATATCCTTCGACACACACACACACACGCAGAGTGGCCACTTCCATGACATTTTCTGTGTGCAGCACTGATGTTCACTATTTTGTCTTACAGGCATCTCGCTTCCACTGGAGAAGTACCCAATGGTAGGTTTGACACTGGGAGAACTTTTAAGAGGTTTCTAAGCTTAGGAGCGTTAGATTCACTGATCACTCTCAGAACAGTCGTCTGTAAAAGTAATTCTTGGGGTACTTTATCCTGCTTACAGTACAGTATGCTTGTGAATATGTTCATCACCATGAAAGCTTTAGGTAGCACTTTATATTAAAATGCAAAGTTCTTTCACAGGAGAAACGGCACCTCTCCAGCTGCATTTTTGCAGAGAACCATGCAAAGTACACTGGCTGGTTTGTTAATGTACAGCGCCCTCTACTGTTCATAAAAGCCCCATGAGCATTGTATCTCCACTAAAGGCGCTGGTCTGTTGGTGGCAGCAGGAAGAATGAATTGGACCTAAACTCTAAATGTGATAAGAATGTACCATCAAACTTCTGAAGACTTGTTGACCGCAGATATTAGAATGTCTTTTGTGAATCTTTTTTTTTTTTTTTTTTTTAAAGGAATTTCCAAAATGACTAAATTTTCACTTTGTTTTTCTAAGTTCTTGTGGTGATAAATTCTGGGAATTCTTTCTAACAGAATGTAGAAGGAAAAGTAGGTCAGTGAGGTGGGGGGCCATGCTACACAACCTTATTTGCTTATCTGATAAACATTACAGCCCACAGGCCATATCAAAGCATACATATTTGAGGAGAGAGGTGATAAGAAACAGACATTCAGGTAATCATGAACCCACACCATAAACACAAACACACTTGTTTCTGTGGTAGAAGCTCGTCAATCCGCTTTGCCCACATGAGCTCAGTGGATGATCTTGACCAGCAGCATGCCATTAACTGTGGTTCTTTGTTAGTAGGAATTTACACCTCAGCTGTTAGACTGGTCTTACAGTAAAGGGGAAGTAGATGAGAATTCAGAGTGACATTAATCCTCGTCACTCAGCTGTAAAACAAAGCTCCCTGCTCTTTTCCTAAACCTCTAAGGTTCACGTGTTTCTGCCACAAGACAATAACTGAAAGAAGTACTGACAGTTTGTGTTTTTGTGTAGCATAGCAGTACCAGGCATTCTCACTTCAAACGAACTGTATCACAAACAATGACGTTGTGCTGGCGTGGCACCTGGACGATGGCCTCGTTAATTGTATGCTTCTGAAATAAGCATTTAAAAACATTAACAGCTCTGTCTTTTCTCCCAGACTGCACTTTGCTCTCCCTGGTGACCGTTGGCCTTCTCAGGAAGTACATCTCCTTCCTGGATGTTCCCCTCAGCTGGTTTCTGCCCTCGTGTGTCTGCTGTATTATAGGCTCAAAGCCCTACAAGCAAGCCAAAGTAAGCCTCCAACTAGAGACTGTGTGTTGGCAGGACTTTATGTTCTCTACTCTGAGAAGTGCACACTCTAATAAGATCATGTACAGTCTACACTAACACTCAAACTGTCCCTGTTTTTGAAGGAAAGGTACATTTGTCAATTATCTGTTATCATTTCCAACAGTTTCATTTTATCTAACATGAAACTGTTGGAAATGTTTTCATGTTATATTAGATAACATGACACTGCTGTTAATGTGACTGAGGGGAGAATGGACCGGGAGATCGACAGGCAGATTGGGCGTGTCTGCTGTGATCCACGCACTGTAGTCATCTGTAGTGGTGACGAGAGAGCAAACCTGTTGATTTATCGATTGATCTACAACCGCGAGCTCTCAGTATTGACCAAAAGAATGAGATCGCAGATACGAGCTGCAGAGATGAACATCCTCTAAAGGGTGGCTGGACTCTTTCTCAGAGGTAGAGCGAGAAGTGCGAGTTGTATTATCTCCCTTAAAAACAACTTTGTGTCTTTTTCAGGCTGCCATGCTGTGCCATCGCACTCAGCTGCTGTGGTTTCGTTACCTCTACATCACGTTCTCACGCTACATGTTCATAAACACATTCCAAACCATTGCTCAGGGACCAAAGAACCTGAAGATCTATTAAAAGCTCTGATGCACTGATTGCCACATTTCTTACACTACAGGGAATTTAGAAGCTGTTTACAAATGTCTTTGATACTCTGTTAACAGCAGTAGGTGATATGCATTTTTCTTAAACACTGTTATTTTTTAGATAATATTTAATAATAGAAGAAACTTCTCATCCTTTTTTGTTACAGAAAAACTTTTATTGACTCAGTCACAGCACTGTATTAAAATATAGAGTATTTAAGCTTTTCCAAGGGGTTATGACTTTTTTTTATTACTTTAAAGACCAATGAAAGTACTGTTGAATGTTTCTGATGTCATGCTGATTGAAAAATAAAGTTTCTTATATGACAGTAGGTTGGTTTTCCTCTGGTTTTGACATGTCTCTGATAGTTTCGTGAACTTGCATACTTTCTTCCCACTTCTCCCCACAAAAGTTCTCCACTGTGACACTGTGCACAGTACCTGGATCCAGACAATGTGGAGCAATGCCTAATTGAGATGAAGACATGAATAACAGAAGGTTGTCATTTGATTTGCATTCAAATCCCACTGTGAACATACAGTTTCTGTTTGCTACAAATAGCATAAAAACATGACATTAAAGAGACAACTGGGTTGGTTGGTATGGAGTAAACATTAGCGGGGTGTTGAATTCTGTTTACAACACATGAGACCAAGTGTGTCGGTGAGTTGTCAGGGTCATACCATATCCGTCTGGGTTGGAGCGTGGTGTGTAGAAACTTTGAACTCCACAGGTTTTACAGAAGGTGTGTTTTGCAACATGAGTGTTAAATGTGTACGTGGTCAGATTTTCCAAACCCTAAGAATGGAAAAAAACAAAACAAAGTATGCTAAAATTCAATGTAAATTTTAAATATCCAGGATTGTAGAAGTCTTGGGTCAACCCTAATTTTGCTAGGTGCAGTAATTAATTTTAATATATGTGCAAACATACATCGAAATACAGTATATAAGGCAAAAGTAGATTTGAATGAAAGTCAGTATTTGGTATAGCCACCTTTATTCTTCCACACAGCCTGAATTCTTCCAGACGAACTGTCCTGTAATTTATTTAAATAGTCTTCAGGAAAAATTGTCTGGGATTGTTTTTTAGGAACATGACTTTCAGATACTGCTCATCTGCTGGAGACAGGCCTGCCAGTCATTCTTTTGTCCTCCACCTTACAGTTTCCTCAGTTTTTTTTAAGGCCAAGATATTCCATGTTTTTAGCTAACAGCTTGAGTCAGGTGCTATTTTATGATTGAATGATTCATAGATTCATAAGCCATAAGTGGCTTCACGAATAATTAATTCCGGCTTTTTGACAACCTTCAGAAAGCCTGAAGAATTAATGGTTAAGACCACTTTGAAAAATTATAGAAGAGTCTGGCTCCTTTGGAAGCAATACATAAAAAATAAGGGTGCCTCTAGACTTTTGCACAGTAATGTATATTAAATAAAACAATGCGTTTCAAACAAAGTTCCTTACCTGTAAGAGCGTGAAGCGATTTTTTGGCACAATGAAATGATGATTTTGCTTCTTTGTGCAAATGCTGCAACTGGAGAGAACATATCAGTTCATATGGATTAAAGTGTACGTTGTTGTTTGAAATGCCTTCAACATGGCATGAATAAGATATTTGAACGTTTAGGCTATGTTCCAGAATTACTACCTAGTTTCTATCACTGAATTAATTGTTCATACTTGCAATGAAAAACATGGAGGTCTGGGGAATTCCAGACTTCAAATCGCACAGCCCCACAGTGGCAGCCACCTGTATGTTTCACCAGGTCCATGCTGTAATTGAATCAGTATAAATACATTTACAGTGAGATTTGGTAAGGATTCACCTTTTTAAGCCACGTGAAGGAAAATGCTAGAATGTCTCTATCCAAGTCTTACGTAAAGTTCAGGTTGAAAGGGTGTCACATGTTAGTTGTGAAACTTGCTGACGTGGAGCTCCCAATCAAAAGTTCCAGTCATCCTGCCATGGAAAACAATGAACCTGATTAAAGTGCAGCTCTGATAAGAACCACATTTGAATTGATAAAGAACCTTTTACCTACAGAAGCTAAGCTTTTGATTCAAACACAGCAACTCATGTACTCATTTTATATTTAAAATAAAAGTCAGATTTCTTGTTTTTCCAAGGTGTGAACATGTTGATTCCATGTTAACCAGACCTACTTCCTGCTTGCAATCTTTTCCTGGAACACTTTGAGATAGTCCACATAACAAAGGGCAGGGCGAGGTACAGCAGGCTTGCACAAACACATTCCTCAGAGGCAGAACTAGATCAGCCAGATGCCCTGCTCTGTGTTGGAAAGCAAAGGCGTGGTGCATCATGAGTTGGGTTTCATATGACACAGTGCCAGAGGGGTGGGCTAACAGAATGCTGTGACCCAAATACATATTTTATTTGAATCAGGGCTCTCAGAGCTGCATTATAGCCAAACTCCCAAAAATAGAAACCCACAAGGCCCCATGAGCCCAAGCTGATTTAGTTTACAGTGCTACCTTAAATAGTGGTGGGTGCTAAAAGTGGGCACTGATCAGTAATTACAGTCCTGGAAATAAACTTTGGAAACCAGGAAATACAAAAAATTAGATGCTCTAAACAGATAGATCACTTAATGACCTGCAGTCATTCCCTACAATGTTCAATCTGACTTTACCTTGTTGGAATGTTCTAGTTTCAACTGCGTGTTGACAACATGCTGAAACTAGATGAACTCGTGTTTTCTTGATATTGCTCATGGAAATAAAATGAAGAGATGTCATATTACCTGAGGGACTTACAAAGTAGGTGTAAGCATTACACTAAAGCTGTTAGAACTGTTCAGCCCAAGCCACAAAGATAACAATATGTCTGTGAGGCCTGAATAAGTTTATTATACTCTATGAGGAAACTAATTGTTTATCATTGTGTTCAGCAATGTAGATAATGTAGTTGAATTTCTACCCCCCATACAGGTTTATCTCTCCAGTGGAGACTTGACAATGACCTGTCTGTGCATGTGCATCATGAGACTAAAGAGAAACATACTAGTCATGCTTTTACTTTATAGTAACTTTTATGTGCATATTTTCACTGATAACAACTAGATTCAAATAAACCAAGCTAGCATTTGAATAAGCTACTTAATTTTAAGTTACACAGTAACAGATCCCTATAAGTTGGCAACACAGCAAATAAGCACATCAGGTCTGCTAAACCTTGCTTATCATCAACGTTAGGTGTGCATATACTGTGCATCTATGCATACACGGTGTGCCCATAATCAGTATTTTGTACTGATGTCCTGACTATTCATCATTAACGCATTCTTTTTCTTTTAGATGCGCAGTGTGGCTTGCTAAAAAAAAAAAATGAGGTCGGCCATAGAGGCGAACTTCCGCCTTAAAATATCCCGCTGTCGCGTCAGCTGCTATTACATTTACTAAGCGCGTTGCCATCTGTTAAAGGTTGAAATATCTGATAGAGATGAACACACTTCCTGAGTGTACATGTCAGTCTTCGGTATGTTAGTCATACGAATAGTCATTCTGACATGGCGAACTCTTATTTTTCAATCTATATCCATGACGCGACGCTTGAATGTGACACGTAGCCTATACTTCTATAGCCTAAAATATATATAATGGTTTGTCGATTTAGGTCACGTTTAAGCTCCTTTTTTAACCTTATTGTCATAGCCAGTCATTGGACATAACCATAACTTTATCGTGAAATGTTACTTACTGTAACACAGCAACCAATCGCTGATCAAACAAACAACTGTGTCATCCAATCAGAAGCTCGGGGAAGATTCCCGTTGCTGTGCTGGTTCGAGCAAATTCCAGAGTCGTAGTGCATAGATGATATCATTCCGCGGTGGAGATTTATGAGTGCATTCTTACAAACGTAATAGCTTCGACTTTGAAATAATTACGTTTATGAGTAAAATAATTAAAAAATATATATTATTGTAGAACTAAGTTATAAATATTGGGCTTATAAATATTGAAGCAGTGACTTTTGGGAGGGTGGGAACTACTTATTGACGCGGATGGAGATTTCTGGATGACGTGTGCACCTCCATACTATATAACACACTGCTAGACATTGCTCCCGCAGACTTACCTACGTGAAAGAAAAGAGAAAGACAATTTCGAGCCTCAGAGCAGTTTTTCGCCTCACTTACCAGTCGTAAGTATTTTCCTATTTCTATATCTTTTGATATTCCAGAAACGTTTGTTTTTAATAAATATGTTGCATTAGTATCATTGTGTTGAACGATATTTGGGTTGCGCTAACGAGAGGTAACAAAGGTCTCCAAAATACAGTAGTTCTTCCGAATTATATTTTTCTCTTATATAAAGTTAATACGTATTTCGTCGTCGTTCCATTGTCGATTTTCTTTCTTTTTACTACCCTTTTGTTACGCAGCAGCGTTTTGGTAACGTTCGCTTACAGCAGTGACTCAACATTTCCAGTAACCTCCATTACCGGCTGCTGAACAAAAGGAAGGTCACTGAGATCTCAAAATGGCGCTTGGGCTGAAATGGCTCCTGCTGTTCTCATTCTTAGGCGCTTCATAGTAATATTATTTAATACTTTTTTCTTTTCTTTTTTTAAAGAATTTCTTTTTAATCCATATTTGAGCTTAAACTTAAAGTAATGTAATTTCTAATGCATTTATTTATTTATTTTGGGGGGGGAGGGGGGTAAAGAGCTTTTTAATCAATAATTCATCTTTATCTATTTATTCATATTTATCTGATTTTGTGTGTGTGTGTTGGAGTAATGTGGAATGTTTTAAATTGCTTTTAATTCTTAATTAATATCCATCAAATTTTATACAGGCGCAAACATGCAGATCTTTGTGAAAACGCTCACTGGCAAGACCATCACCCTTGAGGTTGAGCCCAGCGACACCATCGAGAACGTGAAGGCCAAAATCCAGGACAAGGAAGGCATTCCCCCTGACCAGCAGAGGCTGATCTTTGCTGGCAAGCAGCTGGAAGATGGCCGCACCCTCTCTGACTACAACATCCAGAAGGAGTCCACCCTCCACCTTGTCCTGCGTCTCAGGGGTGGCATGCAGATCTTCGTGAAGACCCTCACTGGCAAGACCATCACCCTGGAGGTTGAGCCAAGTGACACAATTGAAAACGTGAAGGCCAAAATCCAGGACAAGGAAGGCATTCCCCCCGACCAGCAGAGGCTGATCTTTGCCGGCAAGCAGCTAGAAGATGGCCGCACCCTCTCTGACTACAACATCCAGAAGGAGTCCACCCTCCACCTTGTCCTGCGTCTCAGGGGTGGCATGCAGATCTTCGTGAAGACCCTCACTGGCAAGACCATCACCCTGGAGGTTGAGCCCAGTGACACCATTGAGAACGTCAAGGCCAAAATCCAGGATAAGGAGGGCATTCCCCCCGACCAGCAGAGGCTGATCTTTGCCGGCAAGCAGCTGGAAGATGGCCGCACCCTCTCTGACTACAACATCCAGAAGGAGTCCACCCTCCACCTTGTCCTGCGTCTCAGGGGTGGCATGCAGATCTTCGTGAAGACCCTCACTGGCAAGACCATCACCCTGGAGGTTGAGCCCAGTGACACCATTGAGAACGTCAAGGCCAAAATCCAGGATAAGGAGGGCATTCCCCCCGACCAGCAGAGGCTGATCTTTGCTGGCAAGCAGCTGGAAGATGGCCGCACCCTCTCTGACTACAACATCCAGAAGGAGTCCACCCTCCACCTTGTCCTGCGTCTCAGGGGTGGCATGCAGATCTTCGTGAAGACCCTCACTGGCAAGACCATCACCCTGGAGGTTGAGCCAAGTGACACAATTGAAAACGTGAAGGCCAAAATCCAGGACAAGGAAGGCATTCCCCCCGACCAGCAGAGGCTGATCTTTGCCGGCAAGCAGCTAGAAGATGGCCGCACCCTCTCTGACTACAACATCCAGAAGGAGTCCACCCTCCACCTTGTCCTGCGTCTCAGGGGTGGCATGCAGATCTTCGTGAAGACCCTCACTGGCAAGACCATCACCCTGGAGGTTGAGCCCAGTGACACCATCGAGAACGTCAAGGCCAAGATCCAGGATAAGGAAGGCATTCCCCCCGACCAGCAGAGGCTGATCTTTGCTGGCAAGCAGCTGGAAGATGGCCGCACCCTCTCTGACTACAACATCCAGAAGGAGTCCACCCTCCACCTTGTTCTGCGTCTCAGGGGTGGGCAGTAAAGAAATGATTCAATACAATTCCATTAATGTTGCTTCCTTAAAATAAACAGCTGATGGTATGAATGCCTTGTTACGAAATTGTTACCCACTGCTAAGTTTTAACCTTTTTCGACCAAATATTGCATATCAATAAAGGATTGAACGCCATTTAAGTGTTGCTGCTTTTTGTATATGACAGACAGCAATAGGGTGTGAGACACTGATTTTTTTTTTTTTTTTTGGGGGGGGGGGAGATATGTTTATGTTGAAAAAGAACAGGCCTGTAAACTTTAAACTTTTCTCCTGAATAAAACACAACTATACTATGTCTGCCTTGAACCATGATTCATGTAAAGCTGTGGCATAGATTATAATCAAAGCATACTTTTTTATTTTTATTTTTTTAGAACAAATACTTTTATAAACTGTCAGCCAAAGGACTTCTGGTTCCATGCATGTTTAGATGTAAACAGCTAGATATGACATGCAGGAAATACAGCCTTTCATGTATGAATGTGAAAATACATTAGGAATAAATGCAAATTAGTTAAATATTGCCTTGAATTAACATCATGTACTACTAGCTACAACAAAGTTTCATGATAAGGGTCCTGAATTAAAGGACATTACTATACCTTTGCCTGCGCTTCAGTGCAAGTCATTGCAAAAACGGTAGTATGGTTAGGTTCACCTTCTGGAGAATGCTGAAGGTTATCAGGGTTTTTTATTTGCAAAGATGCTGTGCCATCTATTGACATCAAGCAGGTTACCCAGAGGAAAGATGGTAGACATAATACTGGGAAATAACATCAAGGGTTTATTCCTGGCATGTGCACACTACTGTATCGTAGAAGAAAGCTTAGATGGAAACTGATCTCAAAGTAAACAATAAGCATATTAAAATAAGCTAAAGTTTGCCATGTCTTATTTCAATTGGGACATATACCTGTGCGCTTATGTTCACCATCATCTAAAACAGTAAATGTGGTTGGACTGGCTCACAAAACATCTGTTAGGGTGTTAACATTTAAATATAAGAAGCCTCTCCATGTAACACATACCTATTGAGAAATGCTTAATGAGTGGTAGATCAATGATTTTTTTTTCCATACAGTTGTTGGTCTGAGGGATCCTCCCCAATAGGATATTATCATCAGATGATTTATTTCCTGTTTTTCACAATAAACTGGAATATTATGCAATGAGGCTCTGTTGCTTATCTAGGAAATTATTCTTAATTTTCTTCCTTATTACTATCTCTTCTGAGTCAGCCATGATGTCCTCCTCTGTACTCTTGCATAGCCAGCTGAATAATCTCATATGAGTATTAATATTTTAACTAACCTAGCTGTGGACTTAAACAGCTATTATTCTTGAACTACCTTTCTGATGATCTTTCTAAAACTTTCTGGAATCACACACCTGTATTACTAAAGCTTTAGTTATCATAGCTGAAGCTACCCATGACTATATAAGTAATTAAACCCATCTCCAACTGCAGGATTAAAGGGGTACACACATGAACAAATGAATAAGTCAATGATTAAGAATCAATAATATGATAGTTCCCATCCACTCTGCCCTTTATAACTGGGAGACGGAAAAGGCAAGAAAGTGATGAAGTGGCAGACATTTAACTAAAGGGTTAAAGTGTAGTCAAAGTCAACACAAACAGTGTTTATGTGGGAACGTCAATCCAGAAAAGCAATTAGGAGGATGGACAGAGACACAAGTGCAGGAAGAATGAGGTTTCATGCTTGCTTTGTGTTCTTTCTAATGACTCACTTCAAAATGTCAGCTGAGGTTCTAAAGAGAATATATGCATTGATATGAACTGTGACATTTAACAGGATCCACTGCACTCCAAACATGGTTTTAAATTACAGCTGTAACACCGAAGTCTATTTCTCCCCTCTTTGAACGGAGGTACCTGCCCCTTGTTGAATCTGCACAATAAAGGAAGGACATGTATGAGCTTTGGCCTTAGATTTGATAACTAACCCAAGGCTATAAAATTATTGAAATCTGTGATTATTAGGTCTAAATAATTTTTAGACACTACAATAGTTGTGCTTGGGTCGTTTTTATAATATAAATATAGTATAATTGTAAATTTGGATAGAGTTGAACAGAGGTTTAGGTAGGTGAAAAAGGTTTAATATGTTTGTAAGCAACAGGTCACTGTATGCATGGCATTATGATGGAAACTGAGTCACAGTCAAAATTTGATTCTAGACAGTGTCATGGACCCTCAGTGCTCCTGGCCGACTCACCTCTCTCTCTCTCTCTCTCTCTCTCCCTCTCTCTCTCTCTCTCTCCGTGTGTGTGTGTGTGTGTGAGAGAGAGAGACTCACCTCTCTCGCTCTCTCTCTCCGTGTGTGTGTGTGTATGTGTGTGTGCGTACTAACTACACACTGTGTTTCAGAGGCGGTTCTTCCTCCATCTCCTGCCTACCAACATTGTGCACCTGGGCTGATTATCTCACCTGTGGGTTATTTGATTATGACCTGTCTCCTACTTAAGCTTGATGAAGCAGTTCACTCAAGGCTGGATTTTTAACTAAGAACTGTTAGTGGACTTGGCCCTCCTGTGGTTAAACATTTATGTCCTTGTGAATCCTGCTCCCTTCTGCCCAGGATATTTGGGTGTTAGTAATCCTCCCAGAGTGATCTTGTGGCAAGGAGTGAGGGCTTGATTAAAATGGTGTCTTCTTGAGACTGTAACTGTGAAGTTGTGGATTACACTGGATCTATCGGTTGTCTCCAGTTGTTGAACCTTTAAGTGTAAACAAAAGCACTGAACTTTGAATCTGTGAATCTGCATTTCGAATTCATGTGAAAACAGATATGACTTAAATATGACAAACAGACATATTGTGCTAAGTTAGTTTCTTTGGTGACATCCTGGATGTTTCCTGCCTACTTTAATGTCACATTAGAAGAACTAAAACATTTAATTCTGAATATAGCAGCTGATTTTTTTTTTAATTTTCCTTTTTTTAAGGAAGATGAAAAGTGAGGAAACTGTGTCTGTCGGCCAAAAAACAAAGCAAAACAAAAAAAACCCAACGCTGGCAGGGAAACTGTCGGCAGGGTAAACCTACTATTTTTTTTATAAAAGGTTAATGCTTAGCGTTGAAATGCGAAACTTCGTCTGTCTCCAGCCTGAAAGAGTTAAAGATTAGCTTGAGGGGAGAAAATGACAGGACTGAAAAAAAGGGAAGAGCGTTGGAGGGCTTTAAGCAGAAAAGCGGTGGGGATGTTACGTAATGCCGTTGTCACGTGACCTCTAAAGCGGAACAACAAAGAAAACTTCGGGGTTCGTCTCCGAGAGGGCAGTAGAAGAGGGCTTCAGGATGTCTGTACCTGGAAGTTCCGCGGTGCTCCGTGTCTTGTGGTTGCTATCAGTGTTTGGCACGGTGCTCCCGCTGGACGGCGGCATGCTCTTTCCCCGGGAGTCCACCTCCAGGGAGGTGAAGGAGCTGAACGGGCTGTGGGATTTCAGGCCTGACGGGTCCCTCAACAGGAACGAGGGCTTCGAGAAGGCTTGGTACAAACGTCGGCTGGCAGAGGTGAGCGGGAACGGAGGTGATAGCAGGTCAGATGAAATAAATCAGCCCACTTTGTTTTACTATTGACAGGGTTGTTGTAACCCTGTCAATAGTAAAACAAAGTGCACATACAGTAATGTGCACATTTTAATCTCTGTAAACAAGAACCTTTAAACATCCTGCAATTATGTAGTTATACCAAAAAAAAAATCGTAAATAAAAGCTACTTGGAATGCCATAAAACGTGTTAACACAAATACAAGAAACCCTCAAACTTTTTGGGTTGACTCATTCATACGTTTAGCTAGTAACTGGGTGTTCAAAACTAAGTTTCAAAGCCCGGGTGGAAAGTCTCATGACCACTGCGAACTGAAGCTTTCGTGCATCCTCAGTTTGGATAGGTGGCTTTTCTGCTGCTGGAACAAGCCTGGTAAACTCCCAGAAAGCCTAAAAGTCGTTATCGGCAGCAACCACAGCAGAGTTCCCTAATGCTTGCTCTAAGAACACGATCCACTGGATGTGTTGCTTATCCACAGCTTTACATTAGCAAAAATAGATTTTTATTCCTGTTATACCTATCACATCAAGTTTGAGGAGGTAACTTATAGAAAACTAAAAAAGAAAGAAAGAAAAAGCTTTAGAAATAACAAATTTAGACATTGTTACTTGATTTTCATTTTGCATGACCATTATTGGAAGCATTCAATTAACTTTACTTAAGCTACCTTCAAAGTAGGTGACATCTAAGTCCACAAAAATATGAGGTTATAACAAAAACAGTTTTTTTGCAATATATAATTTATTTTATAAAGTGGTTCATTATGCATTGCATCGAATTATTAAGCAACTGAAACCACCTCACGTATGTTAACGCAACAGGAGGGGAAATGATATTTGCTGAAACATGCTGATCATCAGTCACAGCCTGCTGTTTTTAACAGTGTCAAAGTTTTTCTTGCTATGCTGCATGATGATTTTTCAAAACCAAAACATGTTGATCATAATTGATAGTCTGGCATACTAAGTAAAATTAGAGTTGTGCAAGGCCTTTATGTGTCATTGTTTCACAGAATACCATTATCAATTCATGGCAATAGCAAAAAAAAAAGTGTCCAGTCACTTTGGAGATGGTTATCAGACTGTTTCAAAACAGTTACACAATTCTCACATGCTTTAAATGTTTCCGTGTTTCACAAAGCCTTGCTTTAAACCAAGCACAAATGGATACATTCCTGTCAGATTGTCTTGTTTTGAGGTGTTTAGAGGCATTTATTGCAGAAAATATTCACAATTTCACAAGGAAAAATAAACAAGATGAGAACTTTGTGGGGATAGGTTCATTGAAAAATCTAAATTGCCCATAGGTGTGAATGCGGGAGTGAATGTGAGTGCGAATGGTTGTCTGTCCCTGTGTGTTAGCCCTGCGACAGACTGATGACCTGTCCAGGGTGTACCCCGCCTCTTGCCCTATGACAGCTGGGATAGGCTCCAGCACCCCTGCGACCCTAAAAAAGGATAGGTGGAAGCGAATGGATGGATGGAGAACAAAGGTCAAAACCTTACATTATAAATATTTGGCAAATGCACACGAAGGGGGCTAACCATGAGAATCAAAATGAAGTCAAATACATAAACATGTGTATTGCCTACTTTCAAATGGCTGCTACAGGTGTCCCTGTAAAGTCCTGTCTTCTCTTTGTTGTTTTATATTCTTTAGACCGGCCCAGTGATTGAAATGCCAGTTCCTGCCAGCTACAATGACATCACACAGGACCCCACACTAAGAGATTTCATTGGCTGGGTGTGGTATGAGCGAGAGGTGTTCGTGCCGGCCCGCTGGATCTCCGATGAGGGAACAAGAGTGGTTCTTAGAGTGGGAAGTGCTCACTATTACTCAATAGTGGTGGGTATCATGATAATTGTAAAAATATTTATTTATTATTATTTATTTTTACAAACATATTAATTATTATTTTAGTAATTATCAATGATATTTATGGATTTATCGATTAATGATCCAAAAACACACATAATGAAACAATTTCTTGGAAAATATATATTTATTTTAAGAAAGCTAGGACACCAGCATCTGTATTTCCTGATATAAGGTCTGAACTGTTTAAAAGTTTGTTTGTTGCTTGGTAATGCAACAAATGTTTTCAGTAGATGACAAGTTTGGGCTGTAGGCAGGCTAGTTTAGAACCTAAACTCAATAAAACTGTTGATTCAGGCTGTTGTGATACATGCAGACTGTGGTTTGCCATCATTTTGCTAAAATAAGGAAGAAATGTATTGTTTCAAAATACATCCTTGCTTCATTGTAAATAAGATTGTGTGTCACTAAATTGTAGCTCATGTAAAACGGTGATCATTCTCTGTTGCAGTGGGTGAATGGAGAGAAAGTGACAGAGCATGAAGGTGGCCATCTGCCTTTTGAGGCAGAGATTAGTAGTTTAATCCGCAGGGACCCAACGAAGCCATGCAGAATCACCATTGCTGTAAACAACACTCTAACTTTGGAGACTCTTCCTCCAGGCACCATCCAGTACATGAATGACCGTACCAGGTACCCTCATTCTTTGGTTCATATTTTTAACTTTATTGCCACCCTTTAAAACTTTAAGCTGATGCATCGGTGAGAATGTAGATGATGTGAAGACTGTTTGGTCTGCAGGTATCCTGATGGTTTTTTTGTGCAAAACATCTACTTTGATTTCTTCAACTATGCTGGGATACATCGTCCTGTACTGTTGTATACTACTCCTACGGTGTATGTGGATGACATCATAGTGGAGACCAACTTCATGGATAACACTGGTAAATTCATTTCAAATTTCCTTACTAGCACCAAAGAATATGTGAGCAGGTAAACTGATGGACAACCCCAATTCTAAAAGTGTTGGAACAATGTGTTAATGAAAACAAAATGCAATGATTTGCAAAACAAAAACAAATTTATTCAGAGACTACAGAAAACTCATTAAATATTTAAACTGAGACATTTGGCCTGTATTTGTATAGCGCTTTACATAGTCCCTAAGGACCCCAAAGCGCTTTACACATTCAGTCGTCCACCCTTCACACACACATTCACACACTGGTGATGGCAAGCTACATTGTAGCCACAGCCGTCCTGGGGCGCACTGACATTTCACTATTTCATGACAAATATTGGTTCATTTTGAATTTGAGGTTGGAAAATAAGTGGTACTCAAAAGAAACCAATGAATGAATATTACAACTAATTAGTTTAACTGGCAACAAGTGAGTAACATGAAGAGCATCTTAGAAAGGTAGACTTTCTCAGAAGTAAAGCTAGGCAGAAGTTTGCCAGTCTGCAAAAAACTGTATCTACAAATTGTGAAACAATTGCAGAATAATGTTCTTCATTGTAAAATTGTGAAGTTATTCTCTCGGCATTTAGCCCATTCACTCAGTGAAGCAGTGGGCAGGCACTAATCAGACGCCCGGGGAGCAGTGTGTAGGGACGGTACCTTGCTCAGGGGTACCTCATGGCATGCTACCTACTTAGCTATCCCTGCCCCTAAAACCTTGCTCTCCCCAGATAGCTCTTCCAGCTGCACCAGGGGAACACCGAGTCATTTCCAGGCAAGATGAGAGATATTTTCTCCAGCATGTGCTGGGTATACTCCGTGGCCTCCTCCCAGTAGGACATGTCTAGTATACCTCCATAGTTTTACAGCATGTTTTGTAAATTACCACATTTTGCTCGACATCCTTCTCGTGAAATCCAAACAACACTGACTCAAATTCCCTGCTCGTCTGAAACTTCCACTGTTGCCATATTTTTCCCTATCTGGTAGTGTATAAACACGCATGCTCAGCCCTGTGTGCCAGGTAGAAAAATTTCCAGTTGGGATTAATGATGCATTCTCAGCGTGTGGGAGTAAAAAAAAACAACAAAAAACTCAGATTGAATTAAATGCAGACAGCTTAATATTGACATGACCATTTATACTCCATGGTTACGATAAAGCCATTTTAACCATCATAGGTGGGAAAAACTCTCACATACTCAGCTCTACTTCATGCTCGGCTATGAATAACTACAGTGCTACCACCACCTGATAAAGTCAAGAGGACCACAACATCTACAAAAAGAGATTTTAAGGTCATTAAGTTGGAGGCCTTCTGCCACCTGAGTTGAAATTAGGTCCATAAAAACTTTGAACAGAATCATTAGTAAAGGATAGCCCTGGCAAAATCCAATGCCCACTGCAGATGAGTCTGACTTATTGCCAGAAATGCAGGCCAAGCTCTTAATGTACCGTAATTCCCGGACTACAGAGCGCACCTGATTAAAAGCTGCATGCTCTAATTTTAGAAAGAAAATCAATTTTGTACTTGTATAGGCCGCACCGGCTTTTAAGCCGTATGCGTTTCACTCGTAATATGAGATATTTACACAGAAATATTACACGTGAGGATTTTTAACGTTTAATTTAATCCGTAAGGTAACATAAACATGGTAACACAAACGTTATGGTAACATACAAAAATACATACTGCAAATGCTTTTTTTTTTTTCCTCGAACAGCGCCTGTAACACGGCTACCTTTAAGTATACGTACGTATCGGTAACACACAAATCACATTGCTTATGTTTTTATTACGGAACAGTGCACAAACAACATTACAACGTCTCTTAACAACCGGTAAAAATATATACCGTATATATACTACTTATCAATTTTATTGGTCTACTGTTACCAGGAAAAATGTTTTTGGCCGCATGAAAAAAAAAAAAAAATGCATTAGCCGCACGTCAGTATAAGCTGCAGTGTGGGGGGGGGAAAAAGTAGCGGCTTATGACCCGAAAACTACGGTAGTTGCGTGAGGACTAAATAACTCCTAACAAAAGGCTAGAAACTAGGGGTGCAACGATATTCGTATCGATATTGAACCGTTCGATACAGTGCTTTCGGTTCGGTACGCATATGTATCGAACAATACAACATTTGTAATTTATTTTATCAACTTTCCTTCTGACTATGCTGTCTGTGTTGAGCGCTCAGTGAATCTGCGTTCGACTACTCCGCCTAGGCTGCACTGTCGAGCGCAGATCCACTGAGCGCTCAACACAGACAGCATAGTCAGAAGGAAGAGCGCAGGGCAAGCTAGCAAGACAGAAGTTAAGCTCTCCTTGCAACATGGACCCCCCCCACCCTCATTCAGATCTGGCGTTTGGAATTATTTTGGTTTTCATGTGATGAAACACTATCTCTTACCGTACACTACGAAATCTCCATTTGCACTATTTGCCTATTTTGCACCACTATGCCTCCTTACTTGAATATTGTATATTGTATATTGTATATTGCATAGCTTTTTTTTTTTTTTGTTATACGTAAAATTGTATTGTATTTATTTAAATTTTTACTTTTTAATTATTTTATTTGCATTTTTCTAATCACTAGGGTTTGAGAGTAAGGCAATTTCTATTCTGTGTATGTCCTGTACATGTGGCAGAATTGACAAATAAAGTTGACTTGACTTGACTTGACTTGTGATGTATGACCCTGAAGGTAAGCGAGTCATGGACTAAAGTAAAACAGTATGTTGGATGTGCTTACATAGGTGGGAACTAGTGTGTTAGCGCAGTTAGCTCGTTAACGTGTTGGCCGTCTAGCCCCATGCACAGGGCGATCGGTGGTAGCTCGTTAACGGAGATTTGCCGTGTTGTGGCGTTAAGGTCATTTCAACGAGATTAACCTGAAAGCACTAGTGGGAACACAACGAATATGACTGCACATTTACGCCGACATCATCCTAGTGCAAAGACAAGTGGAAGCGGAAAAAAAACAAGCAAGCATGCTACTAACTTTAGCCGAGTCATTTAGACAGCTGTTAGCACGTGATTCTCCTTATGCTGCTGAGAATATAGCCCAGAAGAAGCGGATAGTATAGCTTTTATTTTGGAAAGAGGCATTTCTCTGTAATAAACTCTCTTTTCCAAAGATGAGTGATTCCTCAATCAGATACAGGGCTCGCAAAATCGCTAGCCCGACGTCCTGGGGCTAGCGATTTTTTTCAGATGGGCTACCCTGCCCGTCGGGCTATTGTAGGAAGGAAAAATCTATGTCAATGCTTTTGCATTCTTTCGGAAATGGAGCTGGGTAATTATGTCATTGACATCGGTGAGCCACTGCTAATATGTGACATATTGAAATCGCGTTTGAATTTGCGCTTGTTTTTTTGCTTTCACTTTGCAATCGCGCGAACTGTGTATAGAGAGCGACAGCACTGATTGGTGAGTGATGATAATTTGCGCACCAATTCCTCTGACGTTGTCTTATCAATCGTTAGCTTACTATGCAAACATGACAAGTAAAATCTCCCGCAACAAGCTTAAACATGTGAGAGGTTGATCGTGCAGAGAATCGCTGAGCATTATGTGAGTGCGTGTGTAAAAGCAGCAGGATATATATTGTAGCGGATCAGGGCTGTTCGGGGTTCTGTTTGTACAGTTATGTTTTGTTTATGTTGCCATAGTGACGGGTGACGCCCTCTCGCTGCGACGGTGTGTCCTTCCGGGGTCAGAGGGCGCCCTGTGTGGTGGTGGTGGTGTTGTTGTTGTTGTTGTTGTGCTGTTGCCGCGCTGAGCAGTTAGCTAGCGGCAGTGTTCTTCTGCAGATGTCAATAAACGGCTGTGCTCCCTGGCTAGCTCACGGGAAGCAAGACCAAACGATACCTCCGTCTCCTCCTTGTCTGAGCTCGCCACAATATTTTAGTTCTGCTGAGCCAAATAAGACAGGTCAGGGTGAAGAAGTGACAGCCAAAGAAAAACTTACCACAAAACGGAAAAGTTATGACAAATCAGACTATAAGGCAAAAAGAAAGTGCAGCTTTATGGTTTCATGGACAAAAGAATTTCTGTGGCTGCAATATGACAAGCGAAATAACCAGGGCTGCACATAAGTGGTCCGCAGGTGCGCATTCGCTGTCAAAATAAAAAAACAGGCACAAGATAAGAAGTTGCAACGCGTGTTTGCATACATAAGATTTTCAGGAGGAGGACAGACATTTGTTTAGAACTCTTAAAGATGTCGAAGAAGCAAGCTCCTTTAAGCAATTACTGTGATGTTCCTCCACCTCCAAAGAAATGTCAGAAGGAGTCCGAACCACAAAAGAAGCAGGTATTGTCGGAAAAGTAGTTGCAGGAGGTGAGCTGGCTTCAAACAAATGATGAACGCACAGAGATGTGGTGCGGAATGTGCCGTGAAAATTTAATAAATGACAAATTAAAAAGGCATGAACTTTTTTTTGTATCGAAAAAATATCGAACCGAACCGTGAATTTTGTGTATTGTTGCACCCCTACTAGAAACCCCTCTTACCCTAGCAGCACGGTCCACAGAATAGCCTGAGGGGCACAGTCGAATGCCTTCTTCAAGTCTACAAAACACATGTAGACTGGACGGCTGAACTCCCACACACTTTTAAATATCCTTAAAAATAAAAATGTTCCTCTTGAATCTGAGGTTCCACTAACATACAAACTCTGCTTTTCGGTACTCTGGAATAGATCTTCTCAGGGAGGCTGAGGAGTTTGATTCCCTTGTAATTGGAGCACACCCTCCGAGTCCCTTCTTAAATGTGGGAACCACCATCCCAGTCTGCCAATTCAGAGGCACTGCCCCAGATCTTGACATGACGTTGCAGAGGCGTGTAAACCAAGTCAGCCATACAACATCTAGAGCCTTCAGGAAATCAGGAGCAATCTCATACTACCAAGGGGCGCTGCCACCAAAGAGTTATATTACCTCAGTGACCTGACCCCAGTGATGGGCGAGTGATCCTCAGACCCTACATCCTCTACAGAAGAGGTGACAGTGGGATTAAGGAGGTACCTGAAGTTTACCTGACTATATCCTCATTTAAAGTCAGTAGTGCCGCTCTGCACTACCATGTGAGTAGAGCACCACTTTCCCCTCCTAAATCATTTGACGGTTTGACAGAATCACTCTGAGGCAGTCTGAAAGTCTTTTTCGTCACTGAACTCCTCACACCCAAGCTTTTGCTTTAGCCACCTCCTGAGCCATGTCTGCTTGGCCTGCGTGGCCTGTGCCACTTTGGTGGCAGCAGATGGGTACGGACCCATCTGCTGCCACCAAAGTGGCACAGGCTAACCAAGTCTTCTACAGCTCGATAGCTCTCTTCACCTTTTGTTGTCCACCACTGGCTCGGGGATTACCACCACAACCGACGTCAACCACTTTGCACCTGCAAATGGATGCTGCATCCTTGAGACTAAAGAGGAGCGGGACAGTCTGGATTCTTATCTGCACTCAAAAGTCTGCATCTCTGAACACATGAGGGTGCATCATGGTGATTTCAAAAATCACAGATTTTACAATTAGTGCATTCTGTTTTTATTTACATGTTAAACAGCATCCCAGCTTTTTTTTTTTTTTTTTTTTTGGAACTGTGCAAAAACATAGTGAATAGGATCCACATTAATACAATACAGATTGAATGTGCTATTACTATTTATCAGATATTGCTGTTTCTTCTGGATTCTAGGTCTTGTTAGATACAAAGTATCTGTTCAAGGTGCTGCAACAGCCACCCTGAAGGTTACTCTGATGGACAAAGATGGCCACTGTGTGGCCTCCTCTAACACACCATCTGGAGTCCTCAAAGTTGTAGACGTGAAGCTGTGGTGGCCGTACTTGATGCACGAGAATCCAGGTTACCTTTATTCTATGGAGGTAAGACAACATGCTTGCAGACAGGGAAGTGTGTTCCTGCGGTGTGATGTGGTTTGACAATATGGCCATTAGATTTGTGAGGCTCATTAAGGGGGTTTGTTAAGAAGTAATGATCTTTTATTAATTGGTTAGTAGAGTGTAAACAGTGTAAAAATCACAGTTTATGTACCACGAGGAAAAGCGGAAACCAGGATTTTGACTTATCCAGGTAACTTAAGGGTTAACCCTGGGTTTTTGCTATTTTTATTTGGATCTAATGTCTTTGTCTTAGAAGCAACTTTAATCTTTGATTTTTTTTTTATTTTTTTTTTATTGTTCTATAAACATTAGCCTAATATGCAAGTTTCAGTTCAACTGAAAGTGCCACATTTTCCCTGATTATTTTATTCACAGCATGTTTTAAGTGCATTATAGATTCTCTGCTGGGGGAATACTTTTTATATTCGCAGCTTGTTAAGCTGTACCTTACAAAAACCACTGAATGAACCCTAAACTGTGTGTTGCATTGTCACAAGAATGTGCGTGTATTAACCTTGTGATTTAAAAATATATAAATATTATTATACTTGATACTAATCTGCTGCTAAACCTCTCTTATACTGGAAAATTGAAATACTAGCAATCACAACACACACCAAGAATACCTGTTCAGTAAATTAAATATATTTCACTTTAACATGAAATGCTTATGCTAATGTAATGTTAGCTTATTCTTATGCTAATATTAGTAAGCTTCTCAGCAACCATCCTAACATTTTAGTCGGTGTCCTGTTGACATAAACATAATAACATTTTAAATAAATGATGTGCTGCCATGTCTGTTTGAAAACGGTTTGTTTAATTACGTGGGATCGTGATTTTGTTTTGATATCAAATTGGCTACAGAGAATTGCACAGTTCTACTGGTATTGGTGCCAACTGCTACATTTCTGGTGACATCATGTCTGCTGAAGAAGATGTAAAGAACAACATTTCTACCATTTGTACTTTAACCTCTAGGTCCACCTAATAGCAGTCAGTGAGACCTCAACATATGAAGATGTGTATACTCTGCCAGTCGGCATCCGCACAGTCAACGTTACCAAGACCCAGTTCCTCATTAACAACAAGCCGTTTTATTTCCATGGTGTTAATAAACATGAGGACTCTGATGTGAGTACCACTAGAGGGATGAAAATCCAGAATGACTCTGTCTTATTTGTCTTTGAAACAATGTGTCAACATTAATTTGAATCACAATTAAGAGACTTAATTTAATGACCTCATCTTTATTTTCCTGGTTTTAATGTGTTGTAGATTCGAGGTAAAGGATTAGACTGGCCCCTAATTGTAAAGGACTTTAACTTAATTAAGTGGTTGGGAGCCAACTCGTTCCGTACCAGCCACTACCCCTATGCTGAGGAGATCCTGCAGATGTGTGACCGTCATGGGATTGTGGTGATAGATGAGTGCCCAGGTGTTGGCATCAAAGACATGTAAGTGTCACTAAACGCATCTCTGTAGCCCATGAGTATGTTTGAGGTCAACAGTGAGAAATTCTGTGTTACAATGTGTGAAGATATGGAGAAACTTGCATATTGGTATGGCAATCCTGTGACTCAGCACAAGTAGGGATGGGTACCGGTATCCGGTGCTATGATGGCACCGGTTCTGGCATAAACGGTAGTAACCAGACCGAAAAGCAGCGCACATTTCGGTGCTTTATTTCGGTGCTTTTTTTTTTCCTGAGCTGTGATAGACTTTAGATTCTAGCCAATCATTTTACGTTTCCGAGGATAGTAGGCGGGTCCAGGTACGTACGTTCTTTTAGAGCAGAGCTACAGATTAAAATGCCCAAGGCGAAGCAGCCAAAAGTCTGGCTGTACTTCACAGCAAAATATGCAAACTCAGCAGCCTGCAACAAGTGCTTTAAGCTGATACTGTCAAAGGAGGTAACACCTCAAATCCGATGAAACACCTGGCGACGCATAGCGTTTTTTTTTAAAAGCCGAGAAATGCGCCGTATTTGATAGCTTGCTGCGAGACCTCACACCGTGCACATCTACTGCGGGTGGGTTGCCTGTTATCGGACCCGGAGTTAGCAACATCCCCCCAAAAACCCGAAGAGTAGAGTCCTGGCCCCTAGCCCTGCCAGTGTAGCAGAAATGATGACGGATGATGATGGCAGCAGCAGCCATTCTTCTCTGCGTGAGTAGCTTAATGTTGTTCGTTTGTAATTTACGTTGAGTAGGCTAACCACGTTATTATATTAATGCAGTACGGTGAACTAGCAAACATCATCATAGCTACATGCGGCTGTCTTCTTGTTTGATGGCAGTTACTCCCTTCACCCTGGCCAAAAAGGCTAAAATAACCAAGGAAAAAGTGGAAAACCGTTTTTGAACAAAGTTTGTATTTTTTTTTTTTTTTTTTTTTTTTTTTTCCATTGTTTAAGCACTGCTTCCAGCCAAGAGTGATACCATATATGCCCCATAGCTGCAGAAAAGGCTAACATTGTTATCTTTTAACAAAAGAAACAGCTGAACATGAGAGGTATTTGGACCAATTTTGTGTTCTCCATTCTTTAAGCACCGGTTTGAGCACCGGCACCGTTTCAAAAGTACCGGTTTGGCACCGGTATTGGATAAAACCTAAACGATACCCATCCCTAGTTGTGAGTTAGGTCTTCACTTCTTGCAGTGCTAGCTTTGTCTTGTGGTCTCTGTAGAGCCCAAAAGATGGATTGATCTAAGTTGTTAGTCTTTCAGCTCAGGCTGAGATGTATCTTTTGTGCCTTGCTGATAGTCGCAGTTTTGGAAACGCCTCTCTGTCTCACCACTTGGTTGTCATGGATGAGCTTGTGCGCCGGGACAAGAACCATCCCTCTGTGGTCATGTGGTCGGTAGCCAATGAGCCCGCCTCAGAAATGCCTCCTGCTGAATTTTATTTCAAGTGAGTACAGGTTATTTTTCTTTTGAGGTGTAAAGCACTTATTATAGCCACTGTTCAAATAGTCATCACTACACAATCAAGCAACATGATGCCAGATGGTTTAATATGTTTTTAAACTGTAAATTTAAATGGTAATTCAAGCATATGTTCTGTCATGCTGAAGGCCTAAGAGAATAAAATAGTTCAGATTAAACTGGTACTTGTGGCTGCTCTCATATTTCACATGGAGTCACCACAGCAGAAGGATGTGCTGAGGTTGGGACTGGGTTTATGCAGCTCTTGATCGAGTGACCACTATACCATGGAGCCACCAATTACTTCAGATTAAAGACTAATGGTAAATGGCCTGTATTTGTATAGCGCTTTTCTAGTCCCTAAGGACCCCAAAGCGCTTTACACAACCAGTCATTCACACATTCACACACTGGTGATGGCAAGCTACATTGTAGCCACAGCCACCCTGGCGCACTGACAGAGGCGAGGCTGCCGGACACTGGCGCCACCGTGCCCTCTGACCACCACCAGTAGGCAACGGGTGAAGTGTCTTGCCCAAGGACACAACGACCGAGACTGTCCAAGCCGGGGCTCGAACCGGCAACCTTCCGATTACAAGGCGAACGCCCAACTCTTGAGCCACGATTGATAGAAAAGAAATGTTTTTCTGTCATCGATTATGTGACATTCTAACTATGCATCTGATAATCCTGGTGACTCCTCAGGTATATCAACGTCAACAACATTTGTTTTCCTTGCAGGACTTTGATAAAGCATACCAAAGCTCTGGACCATACCCGACCTGTCACCTACATCACAGACAGTAACTATGCCAGGGACAAAGGGGTGAGCTTCCACAGCCTTCACCTCACTATCAAGAATATATTAAACTAGCAAAAGATGCACAGCACTTTAAGACCACCCTTAAGTAGCAATTTACAATTTAGCAACAAGCCTCCACCTGTGACCCCACCCCCCACCCCACGGGAATCCCTTAAAATCCATCCATGAAGGAATGGCTGTGCGAGTACACAAAGTTTTATGGAAATACATTTTACAATTTTTGTCTAACAACAAATATGCTTTAAGCTTGTACATGAATAATAAAGGAAAGCTCAAGAAGGTGGAGTTCTCTTGTGGCCTTTAAAATATTTTAAAAAAATATGTCGTCATCATGTTGAAGAATACCTCTAAAATATTTTAAATCTAATTATTTTTTTTCCCGCCCTCTAGGCTCCCTTTGTAGATGTTGTATGTGTAAACAGTTACTTCTCCTGGTACCATGATCCAGGCCACTTGGAGGTCATTCCTATTCAGCTCAACGCTCAGTTTGAGAACTGGTATGGAAAGTACAAGAAACCCATAATCCAGAGTGAATATGGAGCAGATGCACTTCCAGGGCTTCACATGGTGAGAATAAACTCACTCACTCAGTGACCTAGTCACATGTCACTTCAGCATCTTTAACAAGTTTTACTGTCACTCTACAGGATCCGCCCATGATGTTCACTGAGGAGTACCAGAATGCTCTCCTGCAGAGCTACCATGATGTGTTTGACCAGAAGAGGAAGCAGTATGTTATTGGTGAACTCATCTGGAACTTTGCAGACTTCATGACTGCACAAGGTACTGCAGCTTCAAAATCAAGCAACCTGTAGAACCAGAACTGCTGCCGTTTTTCCTGTTTCTACAGTACTGATAGTATACAGTATAGCCTATGTTTTGTCTAAAGATGAGAGCTCTTTTCCTCCTAGGTGATAATTTATATCAGGAGATTAAAGGGAAACTCAAAAGGAAATCTGGGCTAAAAAACAAAATGGCAACATAGTCAAGTTTCTAGATGAACTTCTGTGGAAAGAAATGACCCCTCTTGACATTCTACACACTGTCACTTTAACCAATTTAAATCTGCACTGCACAAGTTTTTGCACAAATTGTAAATACCAAACAATTGTCTTAAATTATCTTAATATTTAATACTTAGTATTTGAAGCTTTATTCAGTCACCTTATTATATTCTGCCCTGTAACAATGATATTTAATTGTCTGTCTACAGCAATCCATCGTGTGGTGGGGAACAAGAAGGGTATTTTTACCAGGCAAAGGCAGCCTAAAGCAGCAGCCTTCATCTTGAGGAGGAGGTACTGGAGACTGGCTAATGAGACGTGGAGACTGCCTCCTTGGACTAAATACCCCTGTTCACTCTGAAACTTTGTTGAAGGTAACCAGTCTGGGACATGCTCCGAACCTGCTAATATAATTCCCTCCTGTTGGGCCCCGAGGAGGGAATTCTGTGGGGACTCCACACTAGACTTGCACATGTGGGGCCTCTGTAATCTAGCCTATGTGGGGCCCAAAGAACTGTTTCTCTTTTGGGGAATTCTGTGGGCACTCTGTCAGCAACCCATAGTGGGCTTGCCAACTTGTGGGCTGTGTTGGTCTGCCCACAGTACCCCCACAAGGGGGATGTTTGCTTGGTGTTGAACACTTTGCTGCAGCTTTTACTAATATGTCTCTCTAACTTTTGTATTGTTTTGGGTTTTTTCAGATTGATGCAGAAGACCCATCAAGTCCCACCATGGTGACATTCACCGGTGTAGGTGATCCACTACTTGATTCTGTGAGCACGGTAGCAGAACAGACTAATCTTCTGCTGTCGCTTCTGAGGATGCAGTATGATCAGTAGACTCCTGCTCTCACTATTGTTCATCTAAAGTGACCTTGGAGTCATTTTCTATACATTGAGCCCTGTGCTGCTCATTTAAATCCAAAACCTGCTGCTAGTTCAGTCATGGTGATTAAGGAATGTTTTTTTGTTTGTTTGTTTGTTGTTGTTGTTGTTTTTACGAAAAAGAATGACCTCTAAGTTAAAAAAGGTTGTCTCTGAACCATCTTTGAACTATAAGTACTTTAAAGCCTTGTATACACTGCAAGCAATTTGCTCATCGCGCATCGCTTTGAAGCTAAAGGCTCTATGCTTTTGGACATTCCAGATTCAGGTTACCTAGGTGATCCCCTTTGTATTTACTAAAAGGTCAGATGTCAATCAGTGCATTTCTTCACTCTCATTGGTAGTTGCTTCAGTCTCTCGCCCGAAAGTTCAGAAAACAAAGTGGCTATCACCTACGAAAAATAGGTGATAGCCACTTTTTTTTTTTTTTTTTTTGCCCAAAGTCACTTGAAGTGAATATCGTTTACTTTCTGTGGTCTCTCATCACCACGTCACTGCAAATCACTTTCAGTGTGTATGCAGCTTTACAAGTATTATCAGCCGTTCCAGTCACTATGAAGTCACCCGCACCAAATAAAGAATAAAAGCAAAGTTAGGCCTGTTTTACAATAAAGAAGAGCTAGTCTTTGCTATCTGATTGTGGTGATAACATTATTTTATTTTATTTCTGTTTTATTTTTGCTTCAAAAGTCTTTCATTCAAGGCTAAGTACAGTGAAGATGCATCATCGGCATTGGATGGGACTTGTATCACGTATGCCTTGCTAGCACCAGGATGAACCCCTTTTTGCCTTCAGAACTGCTTTTACTCTGTAACATAGAGTCAACAAGGCACTGGAAAGATTCCTCAGGCATTTATCTGTTGCTCATCTATGATTAAAAATCTACCATTCCACCACATACCAAAGGTGCTCTATAGACTGAGATCTAGTAACTTTGGAGGTCATGTGAGTAAAGTGAACTCATTTTCATGCTCAAGAAAACCAGTTTGAAATTTGTGATTTGAGCTGTGTGACATGGCATAGTATCCTGCTGGCAGCAGACCTCATAAGATGGGTAAGACCGTGATCCTAAATGATCCTGAATGGACATGGTCAGTAACTGTACTCAGGTTGGTTGTACCATTTTAAACTGTGCTCAATGGCACTCAAAGGCCATGTCATTAGATACAAGGTGTCATGTGATACATAAAACTGTATAAATGAAAAAGGTTGTACTGAAAATGACTGTCTGGAAGAACATTCTCTTTCTTGCAAGCAGATTCTGATCTTACACAGCATGTTTAACCAGTGGGGTTAGATTCTGGGTCCATTGTTATTCTCCTTTTACAAGTTTCCTTTAGCCGCTATCAATCTTTTTTGGGCCTTTTTTAAAAAAAAAAAATCATTTTTATGCCAGTGACATTCAACTGTACAGACTGTCGTTCCTAGTTTGCTGTGATCAGACAGTCGATTAACATTTCTAAATAAAGTATCACACCAACTGCAAAGCAGTTACTTGTGTGTTGTTAATGACTCATGGTATCTTTTAAAAATTCTAAGTAAATGATTAACGAAATATTTAAATGCACATTTACTTTAAATAACAATTTACAAATGAAACTGAAAGGCAAGCAGTACCTGCAGATTGAAACAGGTCTCAGCTATCCACACAACAGAAAAAGGAATGAGAGAAAGCATAAAATGATACAAAGCAGTTAAGTATACATTGCAAGATACAAAAATAATCTGAGGTTTAGAAGATACTGAAATGTAAATATTACCAGAGTGTGTGTGAGTGAGGGGGGGGGGGGGTACTTCTAAGAGACAATGTCACACACTCAGCCATGGGGTACTTTTGATTTTACTATGCTATTAAATATAGTAATAATATTTTGAAATATGTCAATTAAAAACACAAATAAGTTTATCCCAAAACAACAGTCAGTTGATTAAATATCACAAGTGTTAACCTTATTTCGATACCACGACTGTTTACTCAGAGTTTGTAATTGCAAAGAAATACTCCATTTATTTGGTGCATGTCATTGTTGAGCAGAAAGCTCAGAAAGCCCTTTGGGGCTTAAAAGGTTAATTAGGTGTCTGATATTTATTTATGCTAATTTATAGTTAAGTTAATGAAAGAAAAATGAAAGCTTAGTCTACTGTTAGCATATTTATTTGAAAGGGCATTGTGTTACTTTGTTTACATAGTAGGATATAGATCACAGTTCTTCATCAGTGCAACATTTTCTGTAAACTCAGTAAAGGTCTGTGGCTGAATGTAGTGCAGTTACCACCAGAGGGAGCAGCATGTCGAGATTTGAAATGTCAAATTTCCAGATGTTGCTCTGGATGGGAGACACTATTGATATTGTGAATGATTTAAAGACATGGTATAAACAGAATAAATTCCAGTGATTGCAGAATCATGGAGATGACAATATGAAGCAATATTTTAAGTTTCAAGAATTTTAGTTAAAATATTATACTCTAATGCAGATCTTAAAGCATAGAGAGACAAAATGAGAGCATTTTGATTTTTTTTAAAGGGGGATGGAGGTTAACATAGATTTTTAGCCTCAACGTGACAATATATTCCCAACCAACATTTTCTTTATTTAGTTTTAATCTGGAAACAAAAAACAGGAGTAAAAAAAAATAATAATCTATTACTCCTAAAACAGTAACAGTCATAATATTCATCTAGCAGTGCATATAGTATTTTTACAACTGCAAGCACTGCTGGAAATGTTGCATCACACACTCAGTCCAGCAACATTTGTCACCAACAAATGGAAACAGCGGGAGAGAGACAAAAACAGCTGCTAAACCCCCCCCCCCCCCCCCCCCCCCCCTTAGAATTCTATGATTTCTTCCAAAATCATGCTCCCACTCCCACTGCTACCCGGTTTAGTAATTATATGCTTTGTTTGATTGTCACCATGTAATTTACTATGATAAAGTCAGGCACAGGTTGTTTGCAGAAGTGGTTAAAGGATACGTTAACAAATCGTTAGAATGTGCTAAACAAAGTGATGGTAATTTATATGAGGATACTGTTACAGATATATGCTGATTAATGAATGCTCTCCCCAACATTAATTTATTATCTGCTGTTACTACCTCCTGCCATGCAGATGAAAAACAAAACACTTTCTGTGTGCGGTGCTGGGGCATGCCCAGAGGTTCTATCTATGGATAGGAACATAGCTGGAATTTAACATAGTACATCTACTCAAGTACAGATTTACTATCCACTGTGTAAATAACTGTCTTTTTGTACCTGTTTTTTATTTACAGCACAGAGGCAAATCTGACTGGAAGAATGATGTGTACAGTGGTTGTGTGAGTGGAGGAGCTATTGGCTTTCCTGGTATGTAACTTACTTTATTAACTAATAGTTTGCATTACAGCAAATTTATGCATCTTGTCCACGTGTTTATTTTTCTGTTTTGCAGTTGGTGTTCAGATGTTCTGGGATGTGGAGGCTTTGCTGCATTCTCTGCTGCAATTGAATGTTACTTGTGGTGAAGCTCTATGGAGTGGCTCGATGGACAAAAACATAAATATTACGCATGTGGACCAGAGAAAGAAAACTTGCGCTGTGAGCTTGCTAACCTTGATGTTTCCCTGCACATCAACAATTGCTGTAAAAGCAGAATAGAAGTGTACTGTTCAAACACGGGGATGTTAAGTGACCCCACAGTGGGCTAAAAAATAAACAAACAAAAAAAAGACATGTCTCTGTTTTTCCTGTGACTTTCATATTGTGGACAGTTGGAGCAAGAAATGCCAATTTCTCATGGTGAATCGTCTGCTTCAGTGGCGTACTGATCAGGTGACGAAAGCTGAACTTGTCTGAATTTCACTCTGGGTTTGTAAAAACTCAGATGAACAATGTTCTGCCTGTAAAACATTGGTTTGATGTGTAAGTAACTAATCCACACCAGGATTATTTATAATAAAAACATTTTTTTTAAATTGTGGATTTACAACTTTTTTCTTTGATTATTAAAGGACTGCAACACCCAAACTGACAACTACCTTTGCTTTATTTTTATTTTTTTTTTTAATTACAACGAAAGTATTCTTCAGGAATACTTTCATTCGTTCGGCTTCTTGAAGGACATTCAAATCTCTTCTTTGGATGCTGGCTGCCTTTTGTTCCCTTCTCTGTCAAGATGATCCCCACTATTCACTAATGTTGATGTCCAGGCTGTGGGGAGGCCAATCCACAACTGATAGCGTTCCAATATGTGTTTTTCTATCTGAAGATGGTGGTGTTGTAAATGCTATTTATTGTTTAAGTATGATAGCATAATGGTGATAGGGAGGCCCCAACCCCACCTCCCTAATGTAGGAGCCAACCAATAAGACCACTCCCTCCATGACTGCGACCAGTAAAACCACAATCATCACCAGCATTTGGTGAGAGTAGGAAGGAAAACCTGGCTTTAAACAGGAAGAAACTTCCACAGAACCATGCTCAGGGTGGGGCAGCTATCTGGCAGGACCAATCAGGGTTAAGGGCAGGAAGACAGACAAACCATATTAATCACATTAGCATAATGATGATAGGAAAGCCCCAACCCTGCATTCCTAATCTGTCACTCCATGACTGCAACCAGTAAGACCACAATCATCACCATCTAACAAGGTACCAGTGGTATGAAACACTCATGTTGCATTCCACTTGTGGCACCACTGTGGCAGTCCGGTAAACAGGTCCCTGGTGGCAGGAAGTCAGTGGGTCAGAGGGGCCAGCCGAGATTCAGTCTCTGAGGATTTTACATGTTGGACACTGGCCTTGAAAGGTAGGGTGTAATGATGATTGTCCATCAGCAAAATTCAGCGTTTGAATTGTTTTCTGTCTTTCCCATCTTCGTCTTCATCATCCTTTCATTTTCGCTTCCAGTATCCAGCTGATGCTGATGTAGACGATGCTGACACACGGTCATCTGGATCTGGAGGTGATGTCTGACAATTTGCTGCATGACCTGACTCATTTGCTGCCTATCTGGTCATGAATTTCTTCTCTCATCTTTTATTTTTCTGTCATGATCCTGGGTCATTTGACCCAGTGTTTTATGTTTATTATTATTATTATGATCTTGTGTTCTAGTTCATTCTGATTATGTGTTCGGGTTTAGACTTTTTGGTTTTTATGATTTTGGTTCTGTGTTCCCTCTGTACTCTGTCTGTTACTGTGTCTCTGAGTCCACTCTGTGCATTTCCTGTTTTATTTTGGTCTGCGTCTTATGTCCGTGTGTTCAGTTTTGTGCTCTCCCTGTCTCGTCTGTGTAATCACTGTCAGAAGTGTCTCCCAGCTGTTTCCTTTCAGTCCTGTTCACCTCTTGTATTTAGCGTCTTTGTCTTCCCCTGCTCGTTTTCACGTCGTCCCTTATTCTAATCTGTGTTCTGTTTGCCCGTTTTCCTGCCTGTTGCTTTCCCACTTTAGTTAGTTTTCTATTCAGTCTCCAATCTCCCAATAAAGCCGGGTGTTTTGACTTCACATTTGTCTCCGTGAGTCCTGCTCTTGGGTCCACCATTCCTGTCTGCCTTCACACAGCCATGACATTTTCTTCTTTTCTTTCTGTTATTTATCTTCCTTTCTTTAAGTCTCTGTTTTCCTAATTTTCTGCTTTGCAGTTTTTCACTTTTTTCTTCTTATTTGTTTCCTGGGTTTGTTCCTGCTGCTTTTATTGGATGCAAGCTCTTCTGTAGAAAGAAACACAATGTATATTATATATATATATATTATATATATGTATATATATATATTATAATTACATTATGTAGCTTTAGAAGATGGGTGCAACACTGAGTTTTCAGCTCAGCTCAAAGTTCAGTGTTTAAATTGTTTTCTAGCTCTCCCATCTTCTTCTTCATCCTCCTCCTCCCTTGGTCTCCTCCTTGAACCTCCTGGTACTGGGTTGGGAGGCAATAACACAGGAGCATCCTGGCCATTGTCTCCGTCATCATCACTGTCACTGTTATCCGTGTCACTATCAGGACCATTTTCAGGGACAGTGTCACTCTCAGACTCCTTATCTTCCCAGAACCACCTCATTTCCTCAATTATCAGATCTTCTGCTTGCTCAGCTGGTTTAATTCAAAGTCTCCTGCTCCATTATTGTACCAGGGTCCTTCTATTTCCTGAGGTGGATTTCTTTCAATGCCTTCTACTGGAACATCAACCACCTCCTCATCTTCCTCTTCCTCGTCATTAGCCTCTTCCTCGTCATTCTGAAGATTGTCCTCCTCAATATCACGTTGTGGCAGCCGATTAATAAATTGACCCAGAACACAGAGGTTTTCTTCAATCAATAACCTGCGCAACATACCGTTTTGTCGTCCGTCTCCTCTCTCCATTTTCTTTTAGGATAAAACAGTCTGCTACATAGACTGGAGGAAACTGGTCGGTACAGCTGTCAAAAGTTAGCTGACTGGTTTCAAACTTTTAAAATGTCCTTGAAAAGGCTTTTAAATCTCTTTAGCAAACTGTTTAAAAACACGGAGCAAATGTGGACTAATTGCTACTGAGTGCTGTGTGAACGCTGCGAACTGTTTAATGATAATTCTCCACCAACTACATCCAAATTAAATGATGCAGAGATGAACGTCATAGATTTTTTTTAGTAGTTCTGTGTTCTGACTCTCGTGATGTCATCAACTGTGGTTCATTCTGATGAAGCTGTTGAACGTTCTGCTGGTGAAAAAATGTCACCGGTGACTTTGAAACTTTTACAGGTGAAGCATTTTCCACAAAGCTTTGAGTAAAATATAGTGACAGAAAGAGGGTTAGGGTTAGGGCTGGTCACCAGCTTGGTGTGTGACCAAGCTGGTGACCAGCATGAGGAGGAGGTGCCAGGCTGTTGTGGCTGTGTATGGTTCTTCCACATGTTACTGAGGCTCCTACTTTTTCATGGCCACAACCCACATACACCATTTCATAAACAGGCTTTCCAGCAGTATAAGATTTATTGCCAAGAAGCATGTTTACAACAAAGAGAAAAAAATGACCAAGCACTAACTGTCTCACTTTTTGTGCTCAGTTAATGTTTGTAAAAATCAGACATGAAGTCACTCAGTTTTATGATAAGGGGTGATATTATGTAAAGGTGAAGCAAGCATTAGGTCTCCCTGCAACCCTACAGATGGGAGGAAGCCCATGTTGCACAGGCTAGGAGAGGTACCAGGGAGGTTAGACTAGATGGCATGCTTCTGATACTCACTAATATCTAATGAAACGTGTGGGAGAGATACGAACTACTTACTCCAATGCAAGATTTAGCCTTCTTCAAGGTCTAGTGTGATAATAAAAGGCCGCTGGGGCTCATTTCTGCTGTATGGCAGCACACATGGTGTCCAAAGTTTTCCAAAATTGGACAAACTGCAGAATGCCTGAATATGTATTTATTAAAAGTGCAGTCATTTTTCACTGTTTCACTTCAGAAGCATACATCTTTGCACAGATGATGTTTATATGTTGATTATTACTGACTTAGTGGATTAAAATGTGAACAAAAGCACATTTTAAAGGGGTTAATGTTTTTATATTAGTCACATACATATCCCCTCACACTTCAACACAATAACTCATGGTAAAAATATAAAAAATATATAATATTTGCATTGCCTTGTAATCTAATATATATCTTACATTGCGCAGGATGTAAATTGTTTTGGCGATCTTTTTTCAACATGTTCAATATGAGATTTCCATGTTAACTTGTGTTCCACTATTACACCCAGAAAACGGAGTTCAGCCATAATTTATTTACATCAAACCATTTCTTTTTAGTTTTTTTTCATTTCAATAACCTCAACTTTAGCCAATTTTTTCAAGTTTTCTCCAGAATAATAAAAAGATTGTGTCATCTGCAAACAAAACAAAATGTAACATTTTTGACACATCACAAATGTTGTTTATATATAAATTAAAAAGTAGGACAGGATCAGGAGAACCTAAGCTGCAGGCCCAGGCTGCTGAAAGTTTCCCATGATGCACTGAGCATTTCTTCTTCATTCACCTCTCTTCACTCGGTGTTTATATAGCACTCTGCATTTAATGCTTAATTATTTTTGTCACAGCTTTTGTCCTGCCTCCCTACTGTAACCCCCCAACCGGTCGCAGTACATGGCTGCCCCTCTCTGAGCCTGGTTCTGGGGTCGTCTGGTTGTTGGGATTTTCTCTCTGTAGGGTCTTAAAGGACTTTGAGGGGACTATTGTTTGGTGATATATAATTGATATTAATCATAGCATAATCATACATCAATTCATGTGGTTCACCTAGGTTTATCATTTTAAATGCACATGTGCAGTAGTTGTATTAATCATGCTACATATTATTATTATGACCACTGAGGCAGGGCAGCTATAGCTATACATAGTGTAAGATTAACACGGGATAAACATAACAAAAACAATAAAGTTGTGAATTATTTTTAGGGCCATTCATTTTATTCACTTTATTGGGGCAGAAAAATAGATTCATTTACTACAGTTTGAAACAAGCAAACATACAAAAGTCCGTTTAATGTAATGTAAATTTTCCCTATCAAAAGAAAACACTGGACAATACTAATACAATAAAAACTGCTAGAACATGGATCTAGTTTTATTTGCGGATGAATATCAGTCGATGACGCTTCTCCAGTATAAAAAGTCCTGTTTCCCTTGGCAACTGCAGTTAGAGGGTGGTGTCTGTGTATCTGTGAGAGCAAGGAAACGTAAGTGAACCCAAGCTGTAAGTATGACTATGCGTTTTTTTTAAAAGCGGTTTTTGTTAGATTTCTGACATCAACTGCTTTTCCGCTGATCTGTGAAACACATTTTAAATGTTCTTCATTTAGTTATTTTTTAATGTGCGACCCAACAGCTATATAAAGAGTGACTGTAAAGATGTAACTTGTTTAGCACCTGATATATCAATTCTAAAACGAATACTGTCGTTATGTTACGTTGGAAGCAAGATGCTTTCTATGAACTATGCCGTAAAAACGCTAACGTTAACTAATAAAAATGGCTACCGTCCATTAGGTTGTAACGTCAGCTGGACAAAAAGGAGGCAAACAACAATCGCTTATGTTAAAATGGCGCTGGTACGCGAAACACCGGTTTCCTACCAGTATGTTATAAAACTGGTGTATGACTCAGTCCTGTTTATCGCGCCTGCTGGAAGGATAACTAGTAGACCGACTGATAGTATATAAAGAAAACGTATGCATAAGCCAATTTTGGTGTGCGTTTCTACAAGGAAGAAATAATTGCCCAGCATTTTACAAATACAGTACTATTGCACAGCATGCTGATCAAATATCTTTATTAGTGTGTGTGTGTGTGTGTGTGTGTGTGTGTGTGTGCCTTATGTTTTATTATTGGTAATATGGAATCTTTTTCACAGGAGAAAACATGCAGATCTTTGTGAAAACCCTAACTGGTAAGACCATCACTCTCGAGGTTGAGCCCAGTGACACCATTGAGAATGTCAAGGCCAAAATCCAGGATAAGGAGGGCATTCCCCCCGACCAGCAGAGGCTGATCTTTGCTGGCAAGCAGCTGGAAGATGGCCGCACCCTCTCTGACTACAACATCCAGAAGGAGTCCACCCTCCACCTTGTCCTGCGTCTCAGGGGTGGCATGCAGATCTTCGTGAAGACCCTCACTGGCAAGACCATCACCCTGGAGGTTGAGCCAAGTGACACAATTGAAAACGTGAAGGCCAAAATCCAGGACAAGGAAGGCATTCCCCCCGACCAGCAGAGGCTGATCTTTGCCGGCAAGCAGCTAGAAGATGGCCGCACCCTCTCTGACTACAACATCCAGAAGGAGTCCACCCTCCACCTTGTCCTGCGTCTCAGGGGTGGCATGCAGATCTTCGTGAAGACCCTCACTGGCAAGACCATCACCCTGGAGGTTGAGCCAAGTGACACCATTGAAAACGTGAAGGCCAAAATCCAGGATAAGGAGGGCATTCCCCCTGACCAGCAGAGGCTGATCTTTGCTGGCAAGCAGCTGGAAGATGGCCGCACCCTCTCTGACTACAACATCCAGAAGGAGTCCACCCTCCACCTTGTCCTGCGTCTCAGGGGTGGCCAATAAATGATTAAGTGTTTTTATTTACTTTGCAACAGAACCTAACTGAATAAAGGATTAGATTAAATTCTAGGGCGGTTTCCCTTTGATTCAAATGCATATACAGCCTTACTAAAATGCACTTGCATGATAAATCATCTTATGCTGTATATTAATCAACTTGTGTTATGTTAAGTTGGGCTTTTGATGGCTTAATAAAAATTTGAATAAACTCAGCTTCTGCCCATGCTCTTTAATAATTAGTCTTTGTTGCTTTACACCCTTTATAAGTGGAGCACACTTGTTTTTCTCTTCAGACCAGTTAAGTGAAAAGTGTTATTTACAGTTTACTGAAATTCTGGAACAGAAATTGAGCTTTTGACTGGTCACACTGTGGCAAGATGAAGCTTGTTATTCATGAAATGCCACAGGAATCATTCAATCAATAAAACTTCATTGATCCTGAAGGTTGACCCCGAAGGAAATTGGGTTAAAGCTGCCGACCTTTGCCAGTGCCATCTTACCCTTCCGACCATACATACATTACACAAACATCACATGGGGAAGACGGGTCAGAGAGGTATAACAATGGAAAATGCACAACATGAGAAAAAAGAACTCCCCCCAGACTGAGCTCCAATGGGGAGCTCAGTTTGAGAACAGAAAAAAACACCTCATCACATCTCGCAACATGGAAGACATAAGCTTTAGAGGGGGTGAGTGTAGGTCTGTGTCAGTGTACATGCTTGTGTGTGTGTGTGTGTGTGTGTGTTCCGTGTTCAGTCGAGAGAAAGTGTCCTTTCACCCGGTTAAGCAAAAGTCAACAATCTTCAGTCGACACGCGGGTGGCCTTGAAGGAGGGGGAAGAGAATCACAACACAGTCTTGTTATCTAAGGGAGAGAATTGTTATTCTGTCAGCTTTTGCCTTGAGCATCCAGCTGGCACCAGGGAGGCCACATGAGATGAAGATGGTAGTTGTTTTGGTTGGTGCGAACAAAATGCTTCAAATTTTAAAGTTGGTCTAATGTCCGTCACTGGTCACCAGGTCTCTCAATTCCTGTTGTTCTTCTTCAAGATGTTACCTATATTGCAGAGCTATGAGCTTCTCCAAGATCTTATCCATATTGTGTTCCACAAAAACACAGTCTGAGTACTCACAGCCCTGCCCATTGTCTATCATGTTGGCCAGCCTTGTGGCGATAAGCCAGGTCCGAGCCAGCTCCAATCAGCCAGAACTCTGTTATCATGGTTCCGAATTGGTAGATGTCATTCAAAGTCCTCCATCAAGAGTGTCGCCAGACACACGGCGCAACCGACCATCGAGTATCCGGCAGCAAACGTCTCTGCAGGACAATCAGGCTCTCCCAAGCTCAGGAGTTGTCAGTTTTGTTAAGGGACCAGTTGATGAAATCCATAATTCTTCTGTAGGTTTTTAGAGAACAAGTCTGGGAGACTCTCTTGGGGTTAGAGAATAAGCGAGACTATACAAAAGACATGAGAAGTGTAGAACATCTGACTAATATTGTTCATTAATGCTGCTTCAATATACCTGTTCCGTGTAGTACGCTGCGCAAAAGTGAGACCCGCCCCCCCCGGGAGTGAGGTGGCTTACGTGTAATGTCTGCTCAGTTACACAGTAAGCAAAGCTTGCTAGTAATCACGAATCCAGAGTCTTTACTGAACATCAAACAAGAAACTAAGCAGGAAAGATAAGGGAGAGGGGAGAGGGAGAAGGAGCTTACTTCTGTGCTTACTACAAGTTCTCCAATCAAATCAATCTTCATTCTGGTTACATGAATTCGCAGGGCCACAGGCTCCAGGTGTTCCAGTGAAATCCAGTCCCAGAAATCTTACCGAACACCGTTTACTGAAATCGAGATTCTAAGGTGAGAGCATGCATGGCATTTTGGTTGGTGTTGGGTCTGTGTTTCCACAAGCCCCGCTAATTCTAGAGACTTATTCATCATGAAGAAAACAAGACAGTCGATCGATCGATTATTTGCGCAAGGGAGGCCTCGTCTGTGTCCACCACGAAAATGACCCCCAGATCTGACCTCCTCCTGCTACCTTTTATTGAGAGACAGTTCACACAAAACACGTCAGAACAAAGCCACGCCCCCTTGGTTCTAAGACAAAGCATTTTATGTATATGTGTGAACTTCTGTAAGAATGTGTGTGTGTGTGTGTGTGTGTGTGTGTGTGTGTGTGTGCGTGTGCGTGTGTGTGTGTTATGTGAGAATGTGTGTGTGTGTGTCAGACCTCCTGCTGACCAAAGGGTCGTAAACGCAGGAAGCTTACATCAAAAGAAGATGTAAGCTACAGATGTCATCTACTAGATATTAGCGCATGATGGCATGTAGTGTTAAAGATTTCCTGTACCTGTCCTTCCTGAATGAGTGTTAGCGAAGGCGCTCTGCTGCAGCTTCCTCAACCTTTCTGCAGCATTTCTCAACAATGAATATGTTGTCTTCATTCTCAGTTCTCCTTCCAGTTATAGACGTCAAGTGCCTGTCATTCTTTTTCTTTCTTTCTCTCTTTTTGTTTTTTTGTTTTTTGACTGGCCATCCATTGCAACATAAATTCTATAAATCCCCCCCCCCCCCCAAAAAAAAAGAAACCCCGAAACAAAACACTGTGCTGTGATTTGAGCCATCGATAAATAAAAAAAAGTACTAAATGTTTCTGCTCAGCATGTTGATTGTGAACAACATAAACAGAATGCAGTACAAGTGTAGAACAGCACAAAACTACAAACATGGCCGAATTTGGTAAATAGCTTTTTCTATGAAATTTGCTTTTTTCAGGAAGAACAGCTGAAACTCGAGGGTAGTAACCAATGGCAAGTGTGCGTTTCGCTCCGTCCACATTTTAATTTTTAAAAATGCAACAGTTACAAAAATAATTTTACTATACTTGTAAACACTCATGACAGTGTTGGAAAACGCTGTTGGAAAAGTACAAGTCGCCGTATTTGCACAGGAATGAATTATTAGCAAAGGTGCTGCTGCACACAGCTCATGTAAGTCAAAGTGAGTGTGTAATCAAACCATGCAACAACATAAACTTTCCCTGCGTCGCTCTTCCACAAGGAACTGAGTGGAAGACCCCTGTCTCAGTGGGTTTGCCCGCTGCATGACAAGAGAAGCAGCTGTATATATCAGCTGGGGGACTGCGAGCTGCCGTCTCACTCGGCTCCACCGTGCGGGGAGGAATGGCAGGCTGGGGGGGCTTCTTATTTTCTCTTCTCAACTACAAAACGGAGAAATATGTCATTGCAGAAAACAGAAGAATCGGAATATTATTTCGGCTCTACCAGCTGGCAGTGCTGGGATACATTATTGGGTGAGGTGAACTGCATGCACCCCCTCCAACTAGCGTGTTTCCTTTATGGAATAATAAAAGGGAGAGTGACTAACAAAGTTAAAAATAGTGGAGCTTGTGGAAAGGTTTTTACTTTGTGTTAAAGTGGTAGCGCAGTATGGGCCTTTCCTACTAATACTCCCGTGTGGGTTATCTGGTTGAGGACAAACTGTAGTGTGACATTTTTAAGTGGCTGGTGGTTATACAATCAAGCCTGCTATTAACAGTCGATTTTTCGTTCAATAATCTTTAATTTATGGTATTTTCAAGCGTTTTACCCCTTATGCATGTGCGAGATATTTTCTAAAACACTTTAATAATCATAATATTAGTAATAATAACATAACTCTGCAATGTAGACAAGGGCTACATTGAACACGTCATGAAGTTATGCTGAATGTCCCAGGTGGGTGTTTGTGGTGAAGAAGGGGTACCAGGAGAAAGAAGAGGCCATCCAGAGCTCAGTCATCACCAAGCTTAAAGGTGTCACTCTGACCAACACTTCTGAGACGGGGCCTTACCTGTGGAGTGCCGAGGACTATGTCATACCCCCAAATGTGAGTCTATCTTTTAGTTTGTAGGATAGCAACACTGATGGCACTGATAGCAGCACTCGCTAATTATGTTCCTGTCAAGACATATTACGAGGCTATTGAATGTTTGGGCTGCCTTGTATCATTAGTCTCAATGTCTGCCTCGGCAGATTTAACAATATTGAGCTTCTTGGGGGCACTAATTTGTTTAACATTTTGCTTCTTCATCTCACTGCCAGGACTTAATTTTATTTTGCAGGGTGAGCAGGTGTTCTTTGTTGTAACAAATTACATAGAGACCCCCAATCAAAGGCTGGGCTTCTGTGCTGAGGTGCGTATTGGAAGGAAATTAGCATTTTCTGAAAGCAGAAAAGTCATAGTAAAAAAAAAAAAAATATATATATATATATACATATATATAAATTTTATTTATCGTGCCTCTAACAGAGTTCCAAGGTGCCAGATGGACGATGCAAAACTGATGATGACTGCATGGAGGGGGAGCCTGTAACAGCAGGTCATGGTGAGGGATGTAAAAATCTGATTGTTTGTTTGGATTTATCCTCGCTTTTTCCATTCTCTGATTTATGATCTGTATAATGAAACAATACAAAATATTGTCCTGATACCGCCACTCTTTAATATTACACATTTCATTATGTCTCTCTGTGTCTTTTCATTTTTTAAGTTCTTGTTCAGCTCCACCACACAGCCTGCCAACTCTTTGCTCTCTCTCTCTCTGTTAGGAATCAAGACTGGCTTGTGTTTAAACAGCACCGGGACCTGCGAGATTCATGCCTGGTGTCCCGTTGAATACAACAAGAGACCCGCGTGAGCATTCATCATCCCTCACAGAACTTTGGAAATTTGCCATTTTGAGCTGCTGCTGCATTAACACTGGCTCTGATCCCTCACACAGACCCAGATATTTCACAGGTTCTATTTATTACTGGCATAGGCTGTCGCCTCCCTTTTCTTTTTTCACACAGCTGCCTGTCTCTTTCATTTCCAGAGAGCCCTTACTGAGTGATGCAGAAAACTTCACCATCTACATCAAGAATTTCATCAGGTTCCCCAAGTTTGAGTTCTCCAAGTAAGTAGCTATAAGTGGCTGCTGATTGCTGGTGTGCCTATGTCTTCCAGGGATTGGGGCATAGAGTGACCTGGGGGGATATGCACGCTCCAGTGGCTGCTTTAAATAGCTTTAGGGTGCAGAGAGCTTTCTATTTATACCATTCTGTGCATTGCACTCAGTGAGACAGTGAAACAGTCATCTGAGACGTCCTTGACAGCAAGCCTTGCCCTGGACAGGTGTCTGATCAGAATGGGCTAGCCCATTGAGC